GTCCACCTCCCTACGACCAAGTGTCAGGGATGGAAAATGGCCGCGGACCACGTGTCAGGGGCGGAAAAATGGCCGCGGACCACGTGTCAGGGGTGGAAAATGGCCGCGGACCACGTGTCAGGGGCGGAAAATGGCCGTGGACCACGTGTCAGGGGCGGAAAAATGGCCGTGGACTGTGTCACGGGAGGGAAAATGGCCACGTATCCTGTTTGTACCCCGAGGTGGAGTTCGCAAACCGAGGTAAATTTTTGTGGCTGGAGCCGGTCGTAACCCAAAAAGTTCGTTAACAGAGGCGTTCGTAACCTGAGGTACCACTGTACATAGGAGGTAGGAGGACAAGACGGTGGTGTAGGGATTTGTTGGTAATTCGCAACAGAATCTGGGGATATAAGGGTCTGCAGTTTTGACATGTATGGTTTATATAGATTAGTTTTGGAAGTACTTCAAATCCTCAAATAGGATGAAACAAAAATAACAGAAAGTCACTAAGTCTCACTTCTCCCACCCAAAGGATCACAACCCAGGCTCTGGATTTTCTTTACATTAGATACTTACTGGAAAGTTCACAGTCCCTTAGTACAGGCCATACAGTCCAGTAAACACTGATTAATGACCTCCAGTTACAAAGGAGGCCACTTGCCTTAACCAGGAAATAATGAATGCTATTGATCCAACAAGCTACTGCTATAGAGTGTTATTGATCACACAATCTTTGGTTAAAATGGTCCTCATTTAGCAATTGCACCGTTGCCAACACCTGGAGCAAAGCATGCCTATAATTAAATAGTTCAGAAGAGTTAAAGTGAGAGGTGATGGACAGATCTCAGCTCTCTCCCATTTAGTTCTGCTTCTGAGCTATTGTTTGTGTCAAGAACAGTATTGATTTTCTATAAAAATAAGAAAACAAGAGGCACAGAGGGGGTGCAGAAGGTCAGGCTGGGCTGAAGAAGGAGGGGGAAGCTAAACACTCCATCTCTGTCACTTGCTCTGTCACCAAACAGGCACGCACTCATTCCTCTTTACCCAAGTTCTCAACTGCCTTCACTTCAGGCTATCGGCTTCAGGCTATCGACTAATACTCTCTATATCAGAGGGAAAAGAAAATACGCTTAAAAACCCAAGAAACAAAAAGATGGTTTATGGTTCTGACATCCTACAAAACACATAAATAAGGACACTCAGCATTACATTTTACTTGCAATCAAGCACCACAGAATAAAGCAAATTAATTGTGCTAAAGGAAGTTTTATTTGATCAGTAACTTCCTAAAATCTGAAAAAGCTACACCAATTTGGTCAACCCACAGGAATAAAATTAATATGTAATAAAATATTATTCATATGAACTAATCTTGAATATACTTTTCCTATTGGTCCCTCCAAAGTATAACTGACAACTTTATAAACTTTATAAGTACAAATGTTTTAGACTCCATGTCTGCATTGCTAAAGTACTATAGAGTGAGTCCTCTTGAATGCTGTGGACTTACTCATTTTGATCAAGGGTGCAGAGGAATCAAGATGGATATTGCTGCTCATCTAAGAGAATTCATAAAAAGCCATGCTTCAACTAATCTCTTCCTAGCTGCATGGAAGATACTATGCTAAAATGGAAGGTTATTTAGAATGCTAAATCTAGCATTCTTCTGAATATAGAAAATACTAACATGTAATTCACGACTGAATCAGTAGGTATGCTGCCCACCCAGTGCTCTCCATCTTATTTGACCTCTCACTGTTAGAACTGAAAGCTTCTGTCTTCCTGACAGTTCCCTGAACAGGAAAAAGAAAAGAAACAATATACTATAGTCCATACAGGACAGAGAAAAATGAAAAGGACATAAGAAGGGAGAAGATGGATAAATGGAATGGACTTACATTACAGTTAAGATGATGAAGGAAAATATAAACCAATCCTTGGACTGTTTATTTGTATAAAGGATTAAAAGTGAATTTAAGTTCCTTTACAGGATGTAATGAGTAGATTATTTTCTTCACTCAGAAGCTGTTTAAACATGGTACTGGTATGTGTATCCTGAACTATTTCTAACACAAGGTGCATATTGAAATCAATCATTTAAAAAATTCAATTCAAAGATCAAGTTCGAGGATATACAACCCATTTTGTAGAGTTTGTAGAGTTCTGTCAAATAATTAAAAAATACAATATGTTCTGTAAACCATGGAAAACACTTCTACTTCATCAGTATCCTAATGACCAGCCTTGTTTTAGTTCTATCAAAAATTCTTCCACTATTTAAATATTAAATATATAGATTATTCATAAGGAACGGTATTTTACTCATCATCATATCTGACATACAACTCCATACCATTAACATATTCAATCAAAATGCAATAAAATATTTTTGAAATAGATCAGCATTCATCTATATCTGAAGTCCCAATAAAATTAAAGCCAAATAAATTTTCTTGAGCATGAATCTACACTCAGATGCCACTACCAAGATGGCTCCAGAATCTACAATATCTTCCAACATCTTAGGCAGTAAGGACATAACAGAGGAACCAATGGAGGGACCTCTTCTTCTAAACAGCTTTGCTTAGAAAGCAAAGACACAGTCAATTGCTCACATCTTTTACAACTGATGATAGAAAACTCTTTGGTTAAAAATAGCATGTTCTTGGAGGTAAATGGTTGCAGGGAGTGCATGCAGGACAATTTCTTCTCTCAATCTCCCTGCAAGTGAATCTATATTGATCACCTGCAATGGTTTTTGAAATGGGCCAATAATTACATGAACCTTGACTTAATATTACAGGTTGCTAAACTCCATCTAGAGCATATTATTCAGAAACAAATGCAATTCATCTTAAATGAAGGTGAAAGTTATATGTCTATAGAATTACCAGCAATGGAAAGCATGATGTACTCTCATTCAACATCCTTTATTGCACCTGGGATGCTTAAAATTCTACCCAACCATCAGCATGAATTATACAGCTATAACTGACCCTTTTTTCACAGAAATCAAAATAGTAGCATTCTTCTTGGAATATCTCCATTTCAACATCAGCAAATCAGTTTCAAACATCTAGAATTCTTCTAGATGATCATTTTAAAACACACAATAAAAACATATTTGCTTATTTTTGGTTAAGAACAAAATGGCAATAATGTTGACTAAAGACTAAACAATCACACTTTATTTTCTTCTAGCAAACGCTGGAAATTAGTCTCACACAAAATACTGGTCTATACAAATATATCCTGCAAAACAAGTTTTCAGCAAATTATCAGAAAAGACTGGATCAAGTTAATCTAGTTAAAAAGGGAACTACCTAAAGGAAAGAGCCACTACTTGCAAAGAAATAAAGTAAAATATTAGAGCCTCAGGTAAGAGAAGAAAGGCCTAGACATCTCACCATTCTGACATGTTTTCATCAGAACCCTGTTTCTGTTCATCTGCTTCACACTCCATCCTTTCATTCCTTCCCCCCTTGCTGAGGAAGGCTCTGGTCTCTGCTGACTCACAGAGTCCCCGGCCAGTTGATGTCCAGGGAGCGTTCTCCTTCCAACGGGACAGCCGTTGCTTTTTAGCAGATTTGAATCTGCAACCCTTCTCATAAGTCCATTCTGATACTCTGAGTTTCTGCTGAAGACTAGCTGCCACCTCTGACGTCACACGCTTAACTTTTCGACGGCGCCTCAGGGGTCGGCAAGGTGCATTCTCAGTGAAGGAGTCTGATTCATGCCATGAGTGCTGTTTATTCTTGAGAGCTGTGCTGAGAGTTGGATGATGTTTGGCTACTGCCATGTCATCAGAGTCACTAAAGTAAGCAGTTAGCACTTCCCGGCAGTCTTCCACAACTTCTTCCAGGCTGGATTCTGAGGCCCCACTATAACAGCAAGCATGTTCCGCTTGATGTGTGAGGTCGGAGCGCCGTTTGCGTCCCCGTCTCTTACGAAGCTGCCGCCGCTGGTGTCTTGGGCTCAGAGTCATTTCTTCCCATAATTCATCCAGTTTGTTCTGTTCAGAAGTCTGCTCAAGGGCTGAGGCCAAATCATGTACTAGCTCATCCATCAGCAATGTCTACCAACATAAAAGTAAGCAATTAAATCAGCCATTTTGCTAGGTAATCACAGTGATATAATTTATATTCAAGTGACATATTTTCAAAAAATTACTTTTGGTTAACTTTACTTTTTAAAGAAGGAAAGAATAAAAGGAAGGAGATATAGTTCGCTTTGTCAGGTAAGTGCTAATATGGCCTCTGTACCATATACCTCAATGACTTCTTTTTATAGAGAAAAGAAACCTAAAGAAAAACAAGTGTTGAACCTGAAGATAACTCTTAAGAAAGTCTTCTGCTTAGTCCTTCCAAGGTGATGGAGAAGTGTGAGAATGACTATGATCTAATGTAGCCTAATAACTCAAACACTGTGTTCCATTTCTGCAGGAAGTCACTTAGATATATAACATTATACAACAATAATACCTACTTGTTTATAAGCATCTCTCAGGCTAAACTATTTTACAGAGTTGAAGAAGGAGACCCAATGCACCATCCTGAAATCCATGGTATAATCATGGGAAGATAACAACAGTACAGTAATGTAAGGGACCACGTATAAAACAGGCCATGCAGATAAAGGGAAGAAGATTGGCAAAATCATTGCAAGGGGTGGTGCAAGAATACAATAGCATCTACCTTCTCTAAGAACAAGCATCTTCCTGTTCTACATCCATCCTAGTCAACTGACACTTTGCCTTACCAAATGGAGAGAGAGTAGTTATAGGGTGGTAGGGTATTCTATTCCCTTTCTATAACCTAATTCTTATCACAACTGGTGTTTGAACTAGCTACCTTATTAAAAGGTCGTGGCTCTGTGATAAAAGCTATTCTCCAAATTCTATTTACATCACCAGAGAATGCTGGAAAACAGGCAACCTTGCCCGAAATTGTGGGAAACTGGTGCTAGTTAGTACAGACAGCACCGAGAGAATAAACAAATGCGGATCTAGTCTACCCACCCACCCTCGCTCTCCTCCCCTCTCCAAACACACTGGCGGAGGCTCTAGCCGTCACCTGCTGCTGGAGAGCAACAGTCAAAAGCATCGAGCTGTCTTCTGGAACTGGACAAGGATCTTTCAGCGGGGCGCCTGTTCTATTCCGCCCCCGACTCTCTTGCCCAAATCTCTCCCCGTCCCCGCGCCACCGCTGTTTTCCTGAGCTGCCGACCCTCTCAAAACATCGGTCCCTCCACTCCCCGCTTCCCTGGAGTGCGAAAGGCCTCTTCGACCCACCCTGGCAGCCCCCCTCCGCTTCCGCGGCTAGGCCACCGACGCTCGACCCGGGCGCTCCCCCTTCCCCACTCACCCGACTCCCGCAACAACCTTCCCAACTCCCTCACCACAGCCACCTCTCTAGGCCTTCCCGGCTCGGCACAGAGTCAGCTCCAAAAAACCGCTTCCGGTCCTCGAGGGGGGCATTTCCTCCTCTTCCGGAAACATCGACGTCACGCCTCGCCTTGATACCAATGGCCGGCGGGTCTCGTGGGCTCTATCGTGCAGGCGCTCGGAACGAGGCGAGGCGAGGCTTGGCGGGCAGAGGCTGCCGCTCTGGCGTCTTTTTCCCGTCATGTGGGGACTCTCGCTCGGTCGTTCCCTCTCCGCTTCTCCGATTTAAGCAGCTCTGAATGCGGCAGCAGCGGCTCGTGCCTCCTGCGGAAGCAAAGGAACCCTGCTTTGGAAAAGAAAAGTCTATATGAATCCAGCGGGATTTACATTTGAGAAACGCTGGGCAGGATGGTACGGCGAGTCTTAATAAGTGAGGCCAAGACTCGGGCAGTCCTCGTGGAAGCCAAGCACGGGAAGCCTGGCAGTCGTGTCCGGAGAGAGGGACTTTCTCTTCTCCAGAAAGGCGTCTTCGTGATCTCCAAGGACGGCGTCCGCGTAAGCGGCTCGCGCGCCAGTCTTTTCTGAAGAACAGCCGTAGCCCGGCGTTTGCCCCTGACAAATACGGCGTGTGAGCACACACGAGCGCCCCTTTCACAGTTAGTAAAGTTACGCGTGTATTTGTGCAGAGGTGGCCATGCCTCAGCGAGAAGGGAGTTGCAGTCACAAAAGCCGTTCTTCTCGTTTCGTTTCTGCCGCTGCAGACTCACGCCAGCCCCTCTCGAGATACGGAGCAATCGCTGGTTTAGGCACTAAGTAACCAGACCAACTTGGCTTCAGTAGGGCTGTATCTCCCCCTCCCCGCATTATGTGATGATGGCTGCTTACTCCTGAGTTGTTTTGTTGTATTCCACTTTAAACATGCGACTAAGTAGACAATAGCAAACCACTTCTCTATGACTGCCAAAAAAACCATGTTGGATGTGTCTGTCCTTGAAGCCTTCAGGTGTTCAATTATTCCTGAAGCGTTTATTTTGTTATCTGGCACAGAATGATTATTCTCCAGTGGAATATATTCATACATAATGCTGTTTTTCAGTTAGGACTTACGTGTACAGTGCACCTAAGTCTTACCTATCAGCACTGGGGTTTTTTTTTTAAGTAACTGCACATTTCATTTACTATGTACACATTTCATTTGTATTTTTTCTCCAGTCAGAGAAAAGGGGATTTCAGATTGATTCCTGCCTCCTGCTGTCTCCTTGATTCATAAATGAAGCTTGAGCCATAAATGAAGCTAGCAGGATACTGTAATTAAATGACTAGATTAGAAGCAATTCAGATCCCTTCATGAAATTTACTGGATACCATAGACTAGTTCTCAGTCTGTTTGCCACTCCTCCTTGATAAGTTGAAATTTGAAATGTTGATTTTAGATCACACTGATAAATCCTAGGAGACTCTGAATTAATCCAGAATACAACATAGGACTACTAGGAGTACTCCTCTGAACATGGCTTTGGAAAAATAAGGGATTTATGTACGCATATCTCCAGTACACCATTTTTTAAAATGTTAAAGTCAAGATGTCACAAAATCACAAGATTTTAATGTTCTCGTATGAGTTCTGAGATTGCAGTTGAAAATGCCTGAATTCTTGCAAAATCTTGGCAATGCATGATCTTGGCATTATGGTGTGAGAACATGAGAATGTTGAGGGCAAGAATATGAAAACGACAAATGTTGCAGTGCCTTAGCTATTATTGTTATTGTTGCCTGATGTCTGAAAGAGTTACCATGTCCTGTCCTAGCCATTTAGCCAGCACATTTTTAGATTTCTACAGGCTTATTTAACAAAGTTGCATTAATATTTTTGTCCGTAATTAAGTGTTCAGTCTCCCTAAACTACTGGCCATGTTCACATGGAATATTCATCCAGTTATTTTTACTATGATTACTCAGTCTGGGTCTAAGCTTGCACAAAACAATGAATCATAAACTGACTATACTGGCTAGGGCCACACAACATCCTAAAATAAAATGTGGTTGGATAGTCTGTGATTCAGTCTGTCATTCATATACAGCCACTATAAAATAGGACATAGTTTGATACTTTTAATTCTTTAACAAGATTTAAAATCAACCCATTATTTCCTAGGGCATCATTCAGATTTCCGTATGGGCAATTAATCTGATGTCACACTTCTTAGGAGTAGATATTCAGTAGACAGTTATTTGCTGACATCTAAATGAATGTAATATATTTTCCTGAAGATTAAGCTCATAAGATGGCCATGGAAAAATAATACCAATTCAGTGGCCATACCTGAAGAGTCCAAGTCATTGGATAAAGGGAATGTACACAACAGAGTACCTGAAGAGTCCAAGTCATTGGATAAAAGAGATAAAGATTTGCAGTGGTGGTAAAAGGCAGCACAACCCTATCATTGGTATGAAGAGTAACCATTCCCATTTTTGTACTAATTACAGGAGCCAGTCTGTGTCTCCATGGCTTTTTTATGAAATTCCAATTTGCCCCTTTGGATCAACAGAATCACACCTACATTTGTAGGGCATAACTGAAATGTTCTAAAATGCTGTTTATAGTGCTATGGGGGCAATCATACCACAGATTTAATTTTTTCCACATTAGAGTATTCCTGTATAAATCCATTCAGAAATAGGTGTGTACAAAATAGTTACACATGGTGTGAGTGTGAAACAAGCACTTTGAACTCAAAATATTTCCAGATGATCAGAACACTTCATTTCAAACCTAATACAATTGTTTGAGTTTGAAACATTTCACATTTGAAATTTTTGCACATCTTTATTTAGAAATACCAGATCTCAACCATCTTGTATTTAGAAATCATATCAAGTGACTATGCCCCTAAACTAAAGATCACCTACCTAATTTACTGTTGTGTACATTCCCTTGCTGCAGGATATGAAGTTCTTATTTATAAAATTACCAGTGAGAGGTTCACTGACCTCCAGCCTTTGTATAAATTAAGTAACATTTCTCCATATTGAAGTTATGCCATTCTTGTATTGATTCACTTAAAATTTATGCTTTCTATTGGAATTTCCCTTTTGTTCTTGGCAAGTTAGTCATGAAAGTTGTTGCCTTCATTATTATGACTAACATTCTTGTGATTTATACATATGTGTTTTTGTTTTGATTTGCTACTGTGTGTGTATATGTGTTTGTGTTTATCTTGCACACACAGGTTTTGAAAGAATTCTCTTTTACATCAATGGGGCTAATTTTTGCTTAGAGTGTTTATGAGACTACCAGGAAGGAAATAGTGTTAATGAAAAAAAAAATGTTCAGAAAATGTCCATTTAGGTATATGTGTTATAGATCCGGGGTTGCACATATTGTTCCTTATTTATTTATTTATTTATTTATTTATTTAATGTTTTTATATGCTGTTAGCCATTCAGAGTCTCATACAAATCCACTAAATAAGTAAATATAAGTAAAGTCAATGGCTTTCAGAAAATCCAGTTATATACAGTAGTGGAAATGACAGATGTGCATACAAGGAAAATAAATGCTCATTTAGCCATCAATCTTTCCTCCAGCTTCAGGCTGTTTGCCTAATTTTAATTGCTTGAAGTGTCACATGAAATCATGCATTTATCATTAATGAATCAAATTAATTGTAAAATAGGGTATTTGTAAAAGTGTAAAAATGCTCCTAAATAAAGATTCTTAGTTGTATCTTTTGGCTATGGAGCACCAGCTTCTACTTGAAATTTGAGATTTTTTTCAAAGCTCATTTTTCAGCACATTAAGTATATTTGATTGAATACAGTGATAGCACTTCCATCCCACTGCTAAGATTTCATGATTAATTTTTCACTCAGTGCCACAGCTTCTCCATAAACTTCTGTTTCTGTTATAAAATAATTATATATGTATCTTTTTCTGCTCATATGCCTAGGTATGCTTTCTCCTTGTGCAACAATACTTGCAACTTCCTCTTCCAATTCCTCCCTTATTAGTAAACTTACTTAATCTAATCCATTCAGATCATCTGAAATAAATATTGAATAAAAATGAGTTTTGTGTCCTCTTCTGCTTTATTCATTACAGTTCAACATTCTAGTCACCCAGAGTCATGACAGTGTGATGGGCGGCCATACAAATTTAAATAAATAAAAAAAAATCTGCTTTAGCATTCTCCTTTATTATCCTTTTATTATCCTTTTGTTTGTTATAATCCACGTAACAGTGACAACCAATATCAATTCAGTTTAGGGGTGGAGGGTGGTTAGGAACATATATGAGGCACTGTATCAACCTTTTTTTAGATGCTAAATATTAATACACAACATTTCATTCATCTGCTAATTTGGGGGGTTTAGTCAGAGAAAGTAATCAGGTTGGCCTGACATGATTTTTTTTGTAAGTCCATACTAAGGTTCCAGGCCTGTATTTCTGTTACCCCCTTTCATTCTCAATACATACATTCTATTGGTCTCCTGGCTTGGCTTCAGACATTAATATACATGTGCTCAGTTTTACATCAATAAAGATAGCTTGTGTCATAGGAACAGAAATTTACATAGGAGTAAATACTGGTTTAGTGCAGAGCAGCAAATGCCTAGAGATTTTTTTTTAATGGTTGCATAATATTTCATTCAGAGATGTTGTTTCAATCTTTGATATTCTTCAGCAATGTATCAGATAAATATGAAATGATACGTTATTAAACTTCCCACAAAAGTAATATATTTGAAAATGAAGTTTGGATTCAGGATAAATCCAAATAGTAGCATTGTTCTTTGCATTTAGAAAATGTTTAATTTTCATTACTAATATTTCATTGTTAAAACATAATTCAAGATAGCTACTCACACACACAATTGTTGTGGTGATGGTTGGTTGTTTTTAGTTATATCCCACCTTTCTGCAAAATGGGCACTCGTGGGTAACAATGAAAAAGAAAAATCAGAACAGTTAAAATCTTTTAAAAACAGTTAAAATCACCATTAACTAATTCAAAATCAAAATGCCTGGATATCAGAAAGTCCTTAATAAAAC